TACATACGAAACAGCAAAACCCAACTACGCTCTTTAAACGAAGAGTTTCGAGATTTTTTCATTATCTCCGCGGATGCTTCAGAATCTGGCGTTGGATCCGTTCCACTTATCGAATGGGGCAAATCTATTAGTACCTGTACTTTGCCGATTGATCTGAGAGGAGCTTCCAGCACTGCACGTGAGCTACTTAGAATCTTCCGAGCTTTCAGTTCACTGATAAGTTGTGAAAAGGTTAAGATTCAGACGGATAGTCAGACAGCTCACACAGGTTTCTACAAAGGGAGTACCAAGAGAGACCTGCAAAGGCTAGCAGTTCGAAATTGAGAACAAGCCAGCGCGACTACGAAAATACAATGGAGGTTTTTTGGATACCCAGGGAGCTAAACCGCGAGGCAGACATGGTTTCGAGGATTGTAGATTTAGACGCATGGTCTATCTTGGACTCCATTTATGAAAACACTGGCGATCTTTGAGGCTCTTTTGAAGCTGAAATGTTTGCCAACGCGGAGAACAAGAAATGTGAAACGTTTGTTTTCAGATGGTTCAGCTAAGGTTGTGCAGCCGTTGATGCGTTCTGTGATTCCACAGCAAAATTATGGTCTCATTGTCGTTGCTGGTGGGTTTCGTCTCCTGTTTTGTTTCCCCAAACGGTGTTGACTGCTAGAAGATTTGGAAGCAAAGGATTTATTGGTTTTCCTTTGTGGCCATCGCACATATCTTTTGCATCTTTTCGTACAGATTCAGGCTGGATATCGAGATAAAAGACATGTTTATAGTGCCCAAAGGATCTGCACTCATAAAAGACAATTCTCCATCTTTCACTTTTTCGTCACCCTCAGTATCACGAATGTGATTGAAGTGATCGAATTGTTGTCATGATTGTGCTATTGTACTAGGGTTGTAGATTAGCGGGCTATTCAGATTTGTTGTTATTGAGGAATTAATTTTTTATAGGAAAATCATCAATCGATAAGTGTGAGTAACCAGAAAATCTCTTATGTTGTTAGCTTAGAGGATATGTTGCATTCTTGATTGAAAGGCTGATAAGAAGGATATAAATAGGGGGCGTGACAGCCAGACAAGCAGTCGAGCTTGGTGAGCAAGCCAGCGCAAGGAGGTGCAACTATCGAAGGAGGTGCAACTATCGAAGGAGGTGCAAGGTTACTGTAGTTATGACTCATGTAGAATTTCTTATTTATCGTTAGAAAAATTACTTAAATTTGTAGTAACTCGTTTAATTACCACAAGTTTGAGGTATTCGTGCGTGTGCAATAAAATTGTGATCTACCAACCGCGTGGCAGAAGTACGGTGCAAGAGTTGTTGCACACTGCTGCTTGGATGCTTGTTGTGCACACTTGGGAGCTTGTTGTTCGATGTATTCGATACATGGTTCTCAACTTGCGAAGGCAACGAACTCATCACTCAAGGCGGCTACTAGAAGCATTGGCTGTTTGCGGACTTTTAACAACTGTCTGGACGTGCCAGACAGTCAATGTCTTCTCACATGAGCGGAAGAATTGCGTCACAACATCAGACGGAACAATATGTAGCATAGAAATAGCATCTGTTCTGAAAGTGAATTCGTTCAAAAGAGAAGCCTGCATCCGCTGCAGCACAATGGTTCCACCGCTATGGAAATCAGATTTGACTGGATCGGATTGCGCCTGCTGTGTGAAAAGGGAACAACGATGTACACACGAAACGTAGTTCAGAAAGTCATTGATAGCAAGAGATGCGCCCGTATGGGATCTTGCATTGAAAACAAATGTGCGAGCATAAATTCTACAAGCATGCTCGAGGAGCTTTCCATTGGCAACCAATTCCCAGGAACAACCTACTGTCTGGAATCTTGTGGCGGACTAGGGTGCGGTTGCTTGACTCCAAGCTCGGGATGTCTCCTGTACCGAATTTACGCTGTTCCTGCAGATGACGAAATCTATGAACTCTTCAGTTGTGTGAAATGGCAGGAAGAAGTCAAGCTAAAAGTGCAATTGAGAAGACACAAGGAGCGTAAATTTATGAGCTACGTACTCGCGTTTAAGACCAAACGTACCAATCCAACTACCATCCATCAAGACGACGCTCAGTGTACTCTCATGGCAGTACTTCAAGCTTCTTGAAGCAACATTCGTCAGGCGAAAAAACGCAACTGCCCTTTGGACTCCTTCAAAATCGCCATTACTGCAATGCTCGTCAAAGGAGAGAGCAAAATCGTTACAGTGCTCACTTCTGCATTCATGTGACTGCACCCCAGCAGAATCCCAAGTAACGTGTCGCTGTGAAAATCAGGACATTGCAGAAGAATTTCATCAAATAGGAAACGTTCTGCCGGTAACATACCCATTTGTGAAGATGGCTAATCATCCGCACCACGATGTGATAGCACATATTGAGCACGGCGTAACGGCAGAGCTTGTTGTGAACGTGAATGAGACAGTAGACAACATTGTAACCGAAGTTACGGATGAAGTCTGCTAATGCAACACACCACATATACGGATGCTACAGGCAAGGAGGAGCAAGAGCACGAGTAATTGTTTTTCATCCGGAAAGCACCTTCTGCTGTAATTGGACTTGATGGAGATTTCGTGATTATCTTGGCTAGCCTAATTTTAGCCCTGTCAGATATTAAGGAAGAATCACGTTGGTTCGTGAGATCAAATGCTCAAGTGGCATCCTAAATGGTACATTAACTTCATCCGGATGAACTCGCGCGACAAGTGTGAGTATGAACCCCAGCGCACAATGCAACTTCGGACTTCGACTGGCCCGATTTAGGCCACATCCTGCAAGTGCACTTACAATGGTATAAGACAGTGGTAGTAACATTTGCCTTTGTTGGACTAGCGCTACTGATCAGTTATCTCTATCTGGCAGCTGCATGCAAGAAGATTTTGCACGCCACATTCAGATTATGTAAGTGCACCGCAAGACGTGTCATTCGACTTCCTGTGTACGCTGCATGGCTAGCAGTACAGTGCTTGTGGAAAGATCACCCTACAGCACAGAAATACCAACGAAAACGCTTTGAGATTCGCGGAATTAATCGGCATGCAAATTGTAAATATGGTTCGATTACTTATCTATCCACTTCAGTACAATGGACAAAAACGACGACTCCGTACGAACGATTATGCAAATCTACAGAGCCAAGGCTGTAGAATATAAAATAATACTGTGATGATCTTCCTTCGACTGAAAACGTGCGTGCGTTCGTGCTGATGCTACCAACAGAAGGAGAGGTACATGACAAAGATAAGAAGTTTTTGGAACTCATCCTCACTATCACACGGTCGAATAATCTAGCAGACGAAAGCGCCGAATTATTCGGACAAAGACTCACACTTTCTGCGAGGAGGGAAGGAACCTTGTACAAATGCAAGGTTCAAAACATACAAATGAAGGTTCAGTTCGTCAAGGAGCGAATCCTCGAGTGCAGTACAAGGAATGGCAATGTGCAATGAGACTTATGGACTACTAATCTTAGCAAATGTTGCCACTGAAAAATCAAAGGAGAAGTTCTACGACCAAAAGCACGACGGCATTCCACTAGAGCCAGCGTTTGTGAATGAATTCGTTGGGAAAGAAATCGATTTCTTAGATGAGCTTTTACGTAAAATCGATACCTTCAAGATCTAGGATAAGTGCACGGGGCATGCACAGTGAAATAAGCCAATGAGGATGCAGGACATACTTTGAGAGTCCCACAAACTCAATAGCGCTACAGATTTCAGGAATAAAATTGTGATGGATCAGATTGACAAAGTCTAAATGTGCTGACAGATCTACACAGCACCGAAGCAGACACGCAGTCACTATGGCACATCCTCATGGGAGTAAAACTTCATCCGCAAAAGTAGTTCAAGAGTTCAAAGTTTTCAGATCAATGACGAAGAGAGACGAAGTCAATCAAGAAGAGGCAAATGAGGACACTCAAAGCAAACGTTCCGATGATGGCATATTGGAGGACCTTTGGGAAGTTGGCACCGAGGACGCCACTCCTCCTTCAGAGAATGACAAAGGCAAAACACACGAAGAATCTCGAAAGGAACAAGGCGAAGACGGACAGAATAAGGAGTGTAACGACGATGGACAAGATTCAGAGACGGAAAGGATTCGTAACCAGCAAAGACGTCGAAGGAAAATAACGGAGCGAATGGAGAAAATACTGAGGAAAATCAGCGATAGAAGACTTCCCCCAAAGCGCATTTTCACCATGAGGAATCAAATGAGGAAAGGAGAAAAATTTCTGAAATGCTCCTTCTGCAACGTGAAAGGACTTCATTATAGCGACAGTTGTCCTGAGTACAGAAGTGTTGAAGATCGGACAGAAAGAGATAAGGTGCATATTGTGCCTTGACTAGCGATATCAATTCGCTGATTCAGGTGCGGGCGGCGACGAACATCGAAGGAAGAAGAGATGTAAAGAGGTTGTCCACTTGTGCAAGTACTGCCAGTCAGCAAGGCATCATACTGCACTATGTTCTCTTCCGCAAAAAAGAGGTGAGTTAGAACTCGAGTACTCGGAGCTCACCAAGATATTACAGTCAATCGATGGGACGATGAACCGCCGAGGAAGCGCAGAAGCTCGACAGCGCCGCGTGATGATGATGATGCAGATCGCCCGTCAACATCTCGGAGGGCGGAGTATCACGAACGTGATTGAAGTGATCGAATTGTTGTCGTGATTGTGCTATTGTACTAGGGTTGTAGATTAGCGGGCTATTCAGATTTGTTGTTATTGAGGAATTAATTTTTTATAGGAAAATCATCAATCGATAAGTGTTAGTAACCAGAAAATCTCTTATGTTGTTAGCTTAGAGGATATGTTGCATTCTTGATTGAAAGGCTGATAAGAAGGATATAAATAGGGGGCGTGACAGCCAGACAAGCAGTCGAGCTTGGTGAGCAAGCCAGCGCAAGGAGGTGCAACTATCGAAGGAGGTGCAAGGTTACTGTAGTTATGACTCATGTAGAATTTCTTATTTATCGTTAGAAAAATTACTTAAATTTGTAGTAACTCGTTTAATTACCCAAGTTTGAGGTATTCGTGCGTGTGCAATAAAATTGTGATCTACCAACCGCGTGGCAGAAGTACGGTGCAAGAGTTGGTGGTAGAAGTGCAAATCACTCAGTTACTTTCGATTTTGTTTTCGCAAAAGTGGCGCCGTTGGGCAACACCCTCGAGCTTTACAATTCCTCGTGTTATCTGAAGCAAAATGAAATTTTTGACGAAGTTTCGTAGTCAAAATCGTTAGTTTTGCGGAGGCTAACGAGTGCTAACGTGTTAGTCCCGTCAGGACTTTTCAAGTTGCGTTATATCGAGTCACGCGTCACTGAGGGACGCGTGGCTTGGTATACGTCATTCCGGCTACTTCTGGCTGCTAAGCCTCCCCCCACCCTATGTAAAGCGGTCCCCATTGAGACCTCATAGATGCGCAAATGGTAAAGTCGAGCATTAATTTAGGTCCCAAATGGAAGGCATGGTCCGAGGCTATTTCGACAGCCAGAAGCGCAGGCAGGGAGGAGTTGGCACAAATAATCGGTGGATCAGCTAACAAGTCACTGGCTTCAGGGACAATCGCGGCCTATTCTTCCATAAGGAAACGATTCCATGATTTCGCAACAACATTGAACATCGACAAACTACATCTGGGAAAGATACGGAATCTTTTTTTGGTCTATTTGATCAACGATCAAATGGAATCAATCAGTTAAAAACGCTCCCATTGGCGGTAGCCGCGCTCAGCTTCTTCTCGCTTAGAAAGGGGAGAAGCGCAGTTCCATCCTCAATGATTCGGCCAAGAAGCAAACCCTTGCGGTAAGGCACAAGGAGAAGGCTACCGATAAAGATGTCGTTAGAGTGGTTAACTGGATTCTGATCATCGATACTCCTAGGACGATAGAGGATTTTTGCATAATGTTATTGTCGTTCCTCATTACTCAAGATTTGCGAGACAGCAGTTGCGAAAGAAAAACATCTCAAAAGGAAGAGAACCGACGTGTGGTGGCTGCTTATCCCGAAATCGAAGACAGATCAGATAAAAAGGGGTACGACCGTGGCATTCAGAGTGCAGGACAATCGGATGGTTCTTTGGGATAAGTTCATGGGTCTAATAGCCGATGAAAGCCCAGACCGTTTTCTTTTTTCGACCGATTCGGCACATCCCCCGTCTACCGAATCGTTGCGGAGAAGGATAAATGAGGTTCTTCGAAGTTGCGATATGAAGGCCTAACATCGCATTCATTCCGGGGCGGAGCAGCAACGGCTGCTATAAGAAGGGTTAAGTATGATGATGTACAAAGAGTAAGAGTAGGTTTTTAAGCCGTTATACAATGCGGTACCGAAGCTAATTACATTTTAAATTGCAGCGATGGAAGTCCTCCAACTCAATGATGTATTATTTGGAGCCAACGCCGATATAAGGGAGCACGAACGGCAATGGAGCGCCTGCGGATATGCAAGGATGAGACGTTTCTTGATCTCCATCGCAAAATCCATGTTCGCTTTTTCGATTGGTCTGTATTATTGTTTTCAAATCTTCTCTCTACTGGGTCTCCACAGCGGTCATGTTTCTATTCAGCTCATGATATAGGAAGTTGGTCAATTCTGTTCAATTATTGTTCCGGTAAGAAAATAATCCTCGACTATAGCACATTCAAAAACTTGAGCTACCATAATCATATCTCACTGCATTCATACATATTTTATGCAATTGCACTTCACTTTCAGTTAATATCGTAGGAGCCGCTGTATTCTTATCATAGCATATGAATGTTGAGTAATGAAATGGCCAGCAATGAAGCCTTCGACGACACGAGTTAGCCGAAGCAAAATGAAGTTTTTGACGAAGTTTTGTTGTCAAAATAAGGGATTTTAAAAGGCGTCCGTGATTGCAGGCAAGAACTGAAAATCTAGGGCGGCAACAAAACCCTACTTAATTCCTTTCACAGAAGAGTTTAGCAGATAATGAAAGCAGAGTTGAGTTTGAGTTCAGCCTCACCTTGCGTAAAGAAATGTGCACCTCATTTCATTGTGGGTGCCTAATCAACCCGTTGACGACAATGCGGATTTGCACGTAGCGTGCTCGTGGGACCACGCCCTTTTCTGGCGCACAAAATGGGGCAAAATTGTCCCTAAAAGCAGTTTTTCTATCAAAATTTTGACTATGACAATAAACAAAATATGACTGCAGTCTTAAGCTTTATGATCATGTATTGTAAGTTAGAAGTGAAGGTGTGCTTCCGGAAAGAGAACTCGCATTTCCAGCAGAAGGGGGGCGTACTTGGCCGCTGCGGAAGATCGGCCCGATGATACAGTAGGATCTCGTCGGAGGACAAATTATGATAGATGATCCAGCCTAAAGTTTCCAATAACGTTTGATTCCGTCCACACAAAATCTTCGTGATTTAGAGGTGTCCGCTTAGCAATTCTTAGTGACTTTAGTGTTTCATCACCACACAAGTCAAAGGATCCGAAATTCGCACGTTTTCTAGGGATATTTTATCTTTCAAGTAGGTCCTCAAATCCAACGAGATGTGAAGCACACGGCGCATCCCAGAGTGGGCCCAGTTGGTTGCGCGCGCTTCATACAGCTACCTATCTGATATGCGAAACTATTCAAAGGAAATCACATGTTCGAGAATCAATTCTGAAAGAGTTCATGTTAATTACAGAGAGGAGTACACTATTCAACAAGAAACGCAGCCTTCAGCGTCAAATTCACAAGCATGTAACCTTTAAAGTTGAGACCCGCTAAACAATTTTACACTTTTTGCAGAGAGAAAAGCACGAGATTTCGAATCTGCTCCTACTTCAGTATGTAATCGCTCCTGCAAGGAGCTATAGTCGTTGTACTAGTCTAAGTACGAAAACACTTCGCGGACTCGGGCAAAAATATCCCACATCGGGCATTTTTTAAAAGTGAACGTATTCAGCAGTTTAGTTGCCTCTAGAAAGAGCAAATCTTCTAGTTTATGATAACGTATTAACTTTCCAGATTGCATGAGTTTGAACGGAGTTATGGCTTTGGAAAGCGTAAAAACTCGCACTCATCACGAATTTTCCTCGTTAATTTTGCAAAAATCCTCAACGTGGCCATTTTTTTGAGTACTGGACGTATGAAGCTGCTTTAGCGACCGTTTGATAGAGAAAATCTTCTAGTTTTGTATGACGTATCAACTTTTTGAATTTGACGGAAATGAAGCAAGTTATTGCTCCGGAAAGTGTAAAAACTCGTGCTCGTCTCGAATTTTCCTCGTTATTTGATCTAAATTTGTTATTTCTTATAACTTCCTGTAATTTCAGTACTGATTAGAAAAAGCTCTTCACAAAACTCCCAAATCAGCTTTCAGATTGAAAATTCGTTAACTTTGAAGAAAGTTATAATCATTTGAATATTTGTTCAAATCCATATTAAAAGATTCTCATCGTCATGCAAATTCATTCCCACCAGCTGGCAAAGTCTTTTACAACTTTCTGAGTGAATAGGGGACGTGTAATTGAGTAACGCATCATCGTGTAGAACTAATGGTAATCTTGTGAAGGAAATAAACAAAGAAGAGGTGTTGTCATAGTACGCCATTTCTAGTGACTAGTTTGACGTTTTTTGCTCCGTTTCTCGTTTGCTCGTTTGACAGGACTCGTCATTAATGATCATTCTTTGACTTTTTCACTTTTATACTTTTTAAACGAGTTTTTTTGTGGACGATGGGGTAGCAGGGCTTTTTTATGAGCAGTTTTGGTGGAGAATTAAACAACTTTTTCATAGTTCGGCTTTTAAAGAGGGTTGTTTCATGGACTTCGGCCTTCGGCAGAGGGGGGGGGGTCGTATTTCCGAATTTTCCTCGACGCCTCGCTGACGCATGTATTGTTGGAATTAGAAGTGGAAGTTTGGAAAGAAATCTCGGATTTCAAAGGGATGGTGTTTGAAAACTCTAGAAGTTCAAATGTACAGTAGAATTTTGATATAGTTCAAACTCCTCCTTGTGTCTTAAGACTGTGAAAAGACGTAGAGGTCCTGATCTGTAATTCACCTTAAGCTTAATAATGTAAAACACTAGTTAATACATCGCCGAGCGAAGTGCCATATCCTAAAATTTCATATAAATTAGCTAGTAACAAACATTTCTGCAAAATATGCTAAACATAGGCGTAACGGAGCTTGCTTATAATTGCTGATATGAATCTAGGAATGACTTAAAGGAAGCGATTACGATAAGGAATTTTCGCATCGGGGGAGAACCTGCGCCACACGGAGCAATTACTTGGCTGCCAAGGAAGCGATGTGTGGCGCTTCCACGGCGAAAGGTGCTGTGGTTGCTGAGCAGGACTTCGAAGCACTCCGCCCCCAAAGCGAT